TGCACAGCAATATGAATGTATTTAATATCACTGAACTGTACACTTAAAAATGGTTAAGATGATAAATGTTATGTGTATTTTACCAAAGGAAAAAGAAAAAGAAAAAAACAAGAGAAAACATATATTTGATTGTACTGTATTCAGTATGGTGGGGTGGAGATTAACAAATTCACAGTTCAATACAGAAGACAAAATGTAATCAAATAACAGAGTCTGCTAGGTTCTTTATGTGGTCTGTAGAAAGTTCTGGGGCAGCGTGGACGCAGAGATGGGGGTGCGAGCAGCATTGTCCAATGTGAATGGAGATGGAGGGTAAGAATAAGTGTAGAGATGTCTTTTTAAACATCATAAAAGAATTGACATTTGATCTGGGCTTGAAAAGTGAATAAAAATTTGGAAAGAGAAAAGGTATTCTAGGTAGAGAAACATGTAGTGAAAGGATGGAACTTTGGTAGATTAAGAAAACTTCTGTCTGGTTGCAACATGGAGCCCATGGAGGAGGGTGGTGGGAGGTGATGCCAGTGGAATAGATATATGGAGGTTACACTGTCCACCAAGTTAATGTTCATTACTAATCAATGGTCTTAGCCAGAAATGGGCTTCAGAATCACTTTGCAGAGCTTCAAGAAGTAGATATGCCCATATTTCTTATGGGAGATTTGGTTTAGTAGGTCCAGAGTGGACCCTGGGCTTGTACATGTTGCCAAAGCTCCACAGGTGATTCACATGTGTTCCCAGAGTCACTATCATAGTTAATAAGACATTGCTAAAAGTTTAGTTTTTAAGAAAGATATGCTCAGATTGACTTAGATAGCTCTGATGGCAATGTAATGGGTGACCAGGAGAGGGTGAGACCTGAAGGTAAGGAGACAAGACAGAAGGTTCCTAAATGACAGTCTAGATTAAGACGGTGATAAGAGGGAGAAGGGAGAGAAATAGGTTTGAGAGGCATTCAGAAAGTCAAAATGGATGGACCCGGTGTCAATGAGATGAGATGGGTAAAAGAGGGAGAAATCAGAAACAGTGCTCAGATGTCCACATCAGATAACTGAGTGATAATGGATTTACTAACTGAGATGGCAAGTGCTGGCATAGGTACTAAACAGTGTTCAGCAGATTGGCTGTTGCTGTGGGTTGGATATCCCCCCAAACTCGTTGCTTGGGACCAAGACCCACTGTAACAGTGTTAAGAGGGTGGGAAATCCATTGTGGTAGTTGAAAGGTGAAGTAGTTGAATAGGTGATTGGATTGTGAGGACTGTACCCTTGTGAGTGGATTGATCTATTCGTGGAATAATGAGAGTGATTCTGGTGGCTNCTTGGGACCAAGACCCACTGTAACAGTGTTAAGAGGGTGGGAAATCCATTGTGGTAGTTGAAAGGTGAAGTAGTTGAATAGGTGATTGGATTGTGAGGACTGTACCCTTGTGAGTGGATTGATCTATTCGTGGAATAATGAGAGTGATTCTGGTGGCTTTAAAAGGAGAGTAATGAGGAGGTTAGTCTCTCTCTCTGCTCTGTCATTCTCACCATATGACACCCTGCATTGCTGTAGAGTCACCTCACCAGATGTGTTCCCTGGACTGCGAACTTCCCATCCTCTGAAACTATAAGCAATAAATATTGTTTCTTTATAAATTACCCAGTTTCAGGTATTTATGTTAAAAGCAACTGAAATGGACTAATACAGTTGTCAAAGAGTAGGCGCTCAATAAGTATTTTTTAAATGAATTTTAAAAATCTTGAGTAAACCAATGATCAAATTGTAGATGAAGATGAAATGGACTAATACAGTTGTCAAAGAGTAGGTGCTCAATAGTATTTTTTAAATGAATTTTAAAAATCTTGAGTAAACCAATGATCAAATTGTAGATGAAGAAAATGAGCAGGTAAGGGTTGGTTATAGGATGAGCTTCCTTGGTTTTTGAGAAATCTAGATGTCTGGGGGATGTGGGGTAGGAGGTTATGGAAAAAGATATGCAAAGCAGGGGTGCTGTAATGGGAAAAAAAGCACAAAGTTTGGTAATGGGAAAAAAAGCACAAAGGCTGAGTTTCAGAAACAATGGATGGTTCAGTTTGCCTCTAGAATAGTGAGAGATAAAGCTGTAAAGACAGAGTGGCACCATGATGTGGTGTGCCCGAAAGTCAAGCTGAGGAAGCTTTAATTAATTCAGTAGGCAATGAGGAGTCACGGCTCCTGGGCAGGGGTCTTCCATGATCTTTAGAATCAAGTGCTTTTGGAAGACTCCTACAGTAGCTATGGGACAGGATGGATTGGGACACGGGGAGATCTAAAAGGAGAAAGACCAATTAGAAGGTTCCTGGGAGGGTAGAAGAAAAAGATAATAACAAATTTAGCAAGAAGGGCCAAAGCAGAAATGGAAAGGCAGGGGCAGATTCAAAGGATATTCATAAAAATCAATAATATGCATGATCAGTCCCCAGATTAGAGTGCCTGGAAACTAGAGATGGCTTCACGGTGGACCCTGGGTGATAAAGTGTTGTAGGGGTTATAAAGATGTTTATAAAGTGATGCCTCAATGAACAGAAATAAAGATGCCAGAAAGGTGAGCAGTTTTGGGGGAAGGTGATGGATTCTGAGGCATCAGCAGGGTGAACAGCTTGAGAAATTTTTGAGTGCCTGGAAAATGCAACACTGCAGGTTAGAGACAGATGGAGGCCAGAAATTTAAATTTGGGAGTCATTTGGGATAAGTGGTAAATGAAATTGTGTGAGTGTATAAGATGGCCAAGGAAATGGAGAACAAGCCCAAGAAAAAATTCACGGGGTGCACACTTACCCTTGGCAAGGGGGACGAGGGGGTAAAATCTGGGAAGGAGAAAGAGGAGTGGTCAGAGGAGACAGAATAATTTGGAAAATGAACCCCTTGGAAGACAGAAAATAGAGCTTCAAAAGGACAGAGTGGGTAACTAGAGTCAAACAGAAAACTTGAGGTGGAGGGAGATGGGTCTGTTGACATGTGATGAAGCATCAGTGGGATTGAAGCCGGGTTGACTGGGGTTGCAGAGGGAAGGCACAAGGTAGCTGAATATTTCTATGTCATTTTTTTGATGCCAGAGACAGGCATGGGTCTCGGATTTGGTTTTAATGAGCTCAATGTTTTCTCAGCATGTTTCTTCCACATTTTCTCAGCAGCCAGTAACTTTCATGGAGACAACAAGGCAAGAATAGCCATGGGTGCAAACAGCATGGGGATGCTGGAGTCTGCAACCTCAGTCACGAACACTTCCCGCAGGAAGCACTGGGTCTCAATATTTCCAGAGAGGAAAGAATCAAGGTTAAAATGACAATTTTGCATGGCATTATGTGTGCCAGAGCTAAGTGTGACAATTTTCTAGATATTACAACGCTATTAATTGAACAAACCTTTGTGTCACTAATTCAAATGTGACTTTTCTCATAAACTAAATCCCCATATAGATGGTGTTTATCTCTGCACTCTCTATTTCATTCCATTTGTACCAAATCTGCTGGTATTTAATTGAGATTGCCATGAACTTATAAATTAATCTGAGGATTGGCATTTTTACTGCTAAAAAGAAGATTACTTAAACCTTCTTTTATGTTTCTCAGTGGAAGATAATTATTTTTTCATATGGGTCCTAAACTTGTATTCTCGGTTTATAACTCAGTATTTTTCTTTTGAGTTGCTATTGTCCGCGGTATTATTTCTTGCAATGTATGTGTGTGTGTGTAAATAAGAAAGATGGAGGTGTCTTCCCAGATGAACAATTAAAATTCAAAATAACTTAGAGCAAATTTAAGTTTTTAGTAGCATCTGACCCCCCCTGAGCTGACACACATGTAAAAAAAAATCACTTTTAATATTTAACATTTAATATTTTAATATTATCATAGAAAACAGAGAAAAAAATGAATACTGTTTGTTCTGCCTGTTTCTTTACATAAGACAAGTTTTGACTGTACTTAGAGTTAAAATGTAGTATCTGTTCAGTCAGTCCTGGTCACCAGCAGTGGGAGCTCCATTTCTCTCCATTTGCCACACAAAGTCCTAGCTAGATTCTGGCTCTTTCCACAGAAAAACTGCTCTTTTCAGCCCTGCTGCTTGAATTCATGACCACTCTCCTCTGTGCTTTCACGTCTCCTCCCAAGGTGCTGGTGCAGCAGGACGAAGCAAGCTGCTGCCGCAGCATAAGCCCCGCTGCAAATCACACTCACCATGGACAGCGGTGTTTCCTGATGATGTGAGTCAGATAGGGTTTTGGTTTTACCTTCCCCTTCATCCCAGTTCTTTGAAACTTTTCAGTTTGGATAATCCGCAGCATAAGCCCCGCTGCAAATCACACTCACCATGGACAGCGGTGTTTCCTGATGATGTGAGTCGGAAAGGGTTTTGGTTTTACCTTCCCCTTCATCCCAGTTCTTTGAAACTTTTCAGTTTGGATAATCTATTTAACAACTCTTCTAGACAAGGGGTCAGCAAACTTTTTCTATAAACTGCCAGATAGAAAAGGTTTAAGGCTTTTCAGGCCATGTGGTTCCTGTCGCAACTACTGAACTCTGCTGTTGTAGTGTAAAAGCAGCCAGACAATAAACAAACAAATGAGCCTCACTGTGTTCCAATAAAACTTTATTTATGAAACAAGTGGTGAACCTGATTTGGCCCACAGGCCATAGTTTTTAGATCCCTACTTTAGACCAGTAAACTTCCAAGCCACACATTATTTATATTTTCAAAAATCAAAAGCAATGCACTAGTCTCCATGGAAGTAAGGATGACAGGATGCAAAGCACTGGAATGAACATAATGAAGCAAAGTCACCAAAATGATTTCTTAGCAATCCCTAAATAATGGTTCTGAGCATACCTAGCATTTCTTTGTTTTATGAAGCACAAGTGGGCTTTTAGAATATAATAATAGACATATTACATTGTAGTATGGTCATGGCTTCAGGGAGGAAGAGAGAATTGAATGGAAAACCATTATTATTAGTAATGAGAATATTTGATCCAACTTACCAATCTTGTACCGCATTGAAAGATTCTTCATTTGTGATGTCATACATTAAAATAAAGCCCATGGCCCCACGATAATAGGCTGTGGTGATAGTCCTGTATCTTTCCTGGCCTGCTGTGTCCTAAAAAATAACAATGATAATCTCTCAGAAATAAGGCAATACTTGTCTAAACAAGTGATTAATAATTCCAAAAACATTCATGAGAGAAGCTGAAAATGCACTTGCAGTGTATGGCTATCTATCTTTTTTAGTCTTGCTTTTCCTAATGATTTTCACATGGCAGCTCTGTGATATTGTGAAAAAGGTATGGCTATCTATCTTTTTTAGTCTTGCTTTTCCTAATGATTTTCACATGGCAGCTCTGTGATATTGTGAAAAAGCCTTTTTTTGGTAAAGATCTAGCTCAAAGTACTTTCTACATATGGTCATTTCCATAAATCCTTTTTTTTCACAGAAAAAGCCTTTTTTTGGTAAAGATCTAGCTCAAAGTACTTTCTACATATGGTCATTTCCATTAAGCAGCATCTAACAGTAGAAAATAAAATAAAAAGTAAGATTATACATATCTAAAATCTGTGGCTTTTTATATAGTTGAAAACCAGAGGAATATATTAAGCTCCACCATTATGTATTTATTGCCTGTCGACTAAGTACAAGCCACTGCAGGGGAAAAAAAGGAAGTTTATGAAAATGGTCCTGCTTTTAAGTAGCTTGTAGTACAGTCTATTTATTCAACGGGAAATGAGAATAAAAATACCTGCTTTGTGTGGATGTTTGAGTCAGACAGATTAGAATCTGAGTTTCTGCTCCCTCGTTAGATAGCTGGGGGAACATGGACAAGTTCCTGAACCTCTGTGAACTAAACCCTTCTAAAGTTCAGCATGCTCGTTAGGGTTTCATGAAATAATTTGTGTAAAGTGCTGCACACAATGTAGCACACAAAACGTGATCAATAAATGGCAAGCACTGGCTGTTGTTGCTGAAATGGGGGGGGCAAGTAAGGAGAACACAAGACTGGAGAGAGCAGCTTACAAACGCAGGGGTTCCACAGCTGCAAAAGAGATGCTTTGTAGCAGATAAATCTGGGAATCAGAGGCAGATACATCGTCGAGATGGTCCTGCATATGTCACATACACTGTATCCTGTGGCTGAAGAAATTGTTCTCAATGCAACCAACTCTTGCCTTTTGTCTTCTCAAGATCTGGGGTATCACTTATCATTTATATGCCCCCTCAGCTCCCCTTTTTGCCGCTTTCCCTGGAGACTGGGGTCTGACTTCTCTTTCTTAGTACTCTTTAGGTGCTTGGCATTTTGGTCAGAAATGTTCCCTTTTGTCTGACTTTGGACTGGATCCTCTCTCTCCCCTTATCCCAGAGATGCCTCCTTTGCACGCAGAATGCATCCCAGCTCTCTCTAAGATTTGATAAATCTTGAAGGGAAAGCTAATGTGTTGGATAACACAAGAGCAGTTCTCTTCACCATCAAAATTAAATTAACACCTCACATGGTCACTACTGGGACAGGCTCAGGTTGGGTCCACTGTTCCTCATCCATAGGCACTGTCCTTCCTGGATGCTTGCATCCCACCGTGGACAACAGAGAGAAGCTCAAGATTCCTTACAACTCCCTTCTAATTTGTGTGGCCTATTTTACTTGCTTCCGTAAGTTCAGAGAAGAGTGATTAAAGGAGGTTGGGGAACAGCGAATGATCCCAGGAGAATGTGGGGTGTGA